TTGGGACTGGACTCTAACTCCAGAGCTGGTTTAAGTGTTTGTACCAGTGCAAGGACAAGGTGACTTCTTTTAAAAGCTCAGAGGAAAAGGTTGAGCTCTTGAGAAAAGCAGAGGGGCACAGGGTTAGGTTGAAGAGCAGAATATACAAAAATAACTGCAGAAGTCAAGAAGAAAATTCCAAGGACTAGCAGGTTTAGTGCCAGACAGCTGCCTAAAAAAAACCTAAGCTAACAAACAGCAGAACAGAGTCTTGTGGTATTTGAAATACTTAAAAGCAACAGATACCAGTAAAGCACCTGGTTTTGGCATCCCACTTACTATTCTACTCCAACAGCTATGATCAGCATATGGTGTTAATTGTCTGGCAGTACACAATTAAATACATTGCTGCTCTGAAACTCTTGAACCTAGTCCACCTCCCTACAAGAAAACCTGTCAAGTAGTTCAAGTCCTCCACAGCAGAGCACAACATTTATTGCAGGCTGAGAGATTTAATGCATAGTTGAAACAAATTTCAGTAGCTTTGGGCTTGGTTTTCTTTTTCAGTTTTGGCATGAAGTGTTCTTCTATAAGAGTTTTAAGTTATCAGAAGTATAAGTACCCCAAGTCTTGAAAAAACTTCCCCATGGATCCCCTATTAAACTCACTCCTGTCCAGGAAAAAAAATTAAACATCTCCTAACTGCACCACAGCAGCTCCCCAGGATGATGAGGCCTTTACCTGCAGGCTGGTGCAGTTGACAAACAGGACACTGAGCATCAGCCTCTCATAATCCACAGTGTGGTCACAGGACACCATCTCCTCACCACTCTCATCTAGGAGGGATGTGGAAGATTAGCTCTGCAGCAGGCAGGTTTCAGCAGGAAGGGCCAGGGCAGCAGCAATACATACCAACAACACACACATGCCAGGAGTAGTTGCTAAGCTCTCTGGAAAACTCAACTTCCATCCCATGCCTGTGGCAGGTCACATTCTCTGCAGAGGGAAGGCCACCATGAGCTGCAGCAAACCCTCCTGGAGCACACACCCTGGCAGCCCCCAGCCAGGCACCCTTCAGAGACCCTCCTGTGCCAAGGCAGGGGGGAAGCAGCTCCAAGCAAACCCAAGCCCACCTCCCCACCACAGCCAGCCCAGAGAGGGCACATTACCCAAGAGATCATGGTCCCCCAGGCCATCAGTACAAGGGGCTAAGCACAGCAAAAACCCAAACAGGAGCAGCAACCTGCAAAGAAAAGAGAATCAAGTGAGAGAGCAGCAAGGAAAAACCCCAGCTCCCCTTGTAGCCCAAACCACACTCACCACATCCTTGAGGTGCTCCAGCACTGCTGCTCAAACCCCATCTCTTCAGGGCACCACAAGCTTGGCCTTTGGCTGCCCAGGGAGGGTTTTATAGGCCCTGGGTCTGGCTCACACAGGTGCCACCTCTCTGCTGCCCAGGGAACAGAGCACTTGCACCTGCTGCTCCTTGAGTGGGGCAGCTCACAGGAGACCTCAAGAATACTAAGTCTTTAGCAGGGGTTGTTCTATTTTGAAGGCATCCTTTTCTTCCTCTGATAATGTATTCCCTTTATTCCCATGTTAGATATTTCATGGAAAAATGCATGTCTGTTTTGGCAGACATGAAGTTTTCTGTGCCAGCGTGACAGCGTTTGAGACACGAGTGAGCTCAGTGTGGCTTTCCTTGGGACTATTTGAAGCGCTGGTGAAGATATCATGGGGGAAAGGATCCCCAAAACCAAGGAACATGTTTTAACAAGGCAAAGAGCCTGAATGCCAGGTCAGGACGTCTACTTTTGATCACTCACAGCAAAAACTGCAAAGGTCCCGTGTTACAACAGCTAGTGTCACTGCTCCCAGCCCTGCTGTGTGCAGGCTCTGCAAGGGATGCCCTTGGACCCAGAGCAGAGCAGCAACCACGTCAGGTGGGTGTCACTCTGAGCCTGGCATGGGTGACCCTCAGCCTGGTGTGGGAACTGGCTGCTCCAGAAGACATCCAGCAGCAGTGTGTCCCAGGGAACAGAAGTTTTGCCTCCCTAAGAAGTGAAGAAATAAGCTCTTATTTTTGTTTTAAATGTTGTCATCATCTCTGAATTGTGTAGCCACGATTACCCAGTGTGACTAATTTCATTCTTCTCTGAGCCCATTAGTTCCAAAGATCTCATTAGGCAAGCAGAGACTTACTTGCCTCCCCTTGCATGGCCTTTACCATACCACATTTGGTGCTTATAAAAGTTGCAATGAGGAAATGTTGTGCAGGAAAATTCCTCATGCAAAACAGATGGCACAACAACATCACTGTGCAGATTTATGCTCCAAGTAATCTACAACAACCTAACTGGTGATGCTGCAGCCTTTCAACCTAAATACTTTGTTTAACTGGCAATATTTTATTTGAGAGAGTTCTCAAATTAATAGAGTAATGCCCATATGCACAGTGAAATCCAATAACAAATCAAAGCTGCTGGTTAAATAATTCATTAGTTTACAACACCATGTACCATCACAACAGAGTTTCTCATGGGCCTGGTAAGACATTTCAGTTGGAAGAGGAATGGTTCTGAAGTTCTTTTCAAACACAAAAATAAAAGCTTCATTCTAACTATCCAGGGAGTTTAAAAAGTTCACAATTTTGAGCTTTAGTCTCAAAAGAATAATCTCCATTCAGGCTGAGAAATTTACCTCATTTGATGTTGAATCATTTATTCCATTTCAAGTTGAGGTTTTTGGATGGGACAACAATGAACAAGTACCAGGAGTTTAGAAACAGATGAAGATTTTGTTTGGTCTTTTCTTTTTTCTTTCTTTTTTGTGATGCCCACTTTTATGACAGAAATAATAATAAAGCTTGCAAAGTCTGAAGCTTCTCCCCAACTGACATGGGTTTTGCTTTACCTCTAATTAACACTTGGAACAATATTTTCCCACTTAGCTTTATACTGGGTAAATTTAAAATCAACATTTTCAAACGTTAATGGTAAAAAAATCACTCTTAAATCAACACTTTGTGTGCTGCATTAATTAAGAGAAAAGCAAATTAAGGTAATTCTGTAGTAAAAACTAAGGATCTTGAAAATTAAAAGGACCCTTCTGCCACCAAATCAATTTTAATGAGTGTATCATGCTTCCTCTCTCCTACCAGGCACTGGTGGTATATGCAGTATGTGAATGGGGATCATTTTACCCCTGAAAAAAGGCCTAGTAAAAGATATAAAATTCAAAGGCATTAATAAACAGCTGATCCTATATGTATATATACACATGTATTACCTATCTTTGTTCTGCAACAGCTAGTTTTTCTTGTAGCTATAAATTTAGCTCCGTGCTGAGTCTGGTTAAATAGAAAACAGAATAAATGGCTGCATTTTTATTAGAAAAGTATTCATGCAGTGCAGGGAACCTGAGAAAGGGCTGAGAGTAAAACTCTCTTCTAAAGCAGGGACAGACGCTGGCCGGGTGAGGCACAGCCCATCCTGGCTGCCCTGAGAGGGCAGGACAGCACAGGGACAGCTGTGTCTGGGTGACATGAGGGACAGCCAGGGCTTTGCTTTACTCTGAGCTGGAGCTGTTTATTCAAAGGTTCAAACCTGTCACTGGCTCTCCTTGTCCTCATGGGAAGAAAAAGTTTGGTACAAGTTCATTCCTGAAGAGCTCTTCAATGCCCGTCTGAGAAAATAATGAAGAGAGAAAGCCCATTTTGAGAGGTCTCTGGTGTGTCACGGGGGCAGAATTATGGGATGTAAATGAGGTGGCAGAATTCCATTTGGGGATTGCACCGGCTCTGAGCAAGGAGTTGGTTTGTGATTCTCTAATGGGGGCACAACAGGCAACAAAACCCCACTGCTAATTGCTGAGGGTAGAGTCTCTGAGATCCAGGTTAATTCAGTGAGTCACAGAAAACAGCTTGGCAAAAAGTAATGTTTATGTGGCAGCTCTTGTGAATGTGGCCAGAGGAACCCTGAGCTCACAGCACTGCAGAAATCTGCAGTAGCCTCTTAACAAACTTCTCAGCTGCTGTTTGAAAACTGGCTTTTTATATGGCTTGCTCTTTGTAATTCTTTTGAACTTTATGGTAGAATTAGTCTAATTCAGTACATTTCTGGTTGTAGAGGTAGCCCTTAATGGCACTGTACTCAGGGCAAATGACTTCTAAATCAAGAAATCATTATTTGTGATGGGAATGGACCCATCTGTTCCCAGGCAAGGACCACAGTGCCCAGGTGGGGCAGTGGGTGCAGACCCATCATGTTTCCTTTTCTGGAATTCCCTGTGGTATCCTGAGAGAATCCTGCACATTTTTTCTGTGTCTAAACAGAGATTACAATACCCATCAGAAGAGTTTTATATTTGCCAGTTTCCTGAAGATTTCCTGATGAAATTACTTCATTACTTCATTACTACAGCAACTTACACAGCTGTGGTTTTGCCAGCTGTGACTTGCAGACCTGTTGGGGGTTTATCCCCAGCATCACCCTATGCATCATTTCCAGTCTGGGTACACAAAATGGTTCCATGGAAGTGCCTGGTTTGGTAGGGGAGTGACTTATTTTCAAATACAGCATCCCAGTAAAAGATGGGTTACAAAGGGCTTCACCAGTAAAGGTGACTGCTCATGCTTTTCCTCCCATCAAACTCAGGGATACTTTATCACTTGGGGTAAAACGTGGTCACACTGACAGTCATGGCATTTTGAAGGTTTTTTTGAAGTTTTTTTGTGGTTCAGAGTCCTTTTGCAATTGCCACAGAGCAGCCAGGCAAAGACACAGAGAAGATGACTGGATCCCCTCTCTAAGTAGTCAATTATGCAACAAACTGAGCATGGCAGAGCCACCTCCCAGGAAACGAAAGCATTCCCCACCCCACAGCCTCATTCCCTATGCAGATCTCCAGACAAAGAGCCTGCAAGGGTGAACTTTGCCTCCCCATTCCCCTCCTCACAGGGATGTCTCAGCTTGTAATCATTAATGAACCCTCCTGTGATGGAAGAGTGACTGTGCAGCCCGGACATCGCTCAGAGCTGCTTTGGGAAGCCAGGAGCTGCCGAAAATGTCGAGCAGGTACCACAAAGCAGCGGCCGATGGCAACGTGGACCTGCTGAAGGAGGCCACCAGGAAGGACCTCAACACCTCAGATGAAGATGGGATGACTCCCACCCTCCTGGCAGCCTACCACGGGTACCTGGAAGCTCTGGAAGTCATTTGCCGGAGGGGGTAAGTTCAGCCAGCCTCCACTGGGCCTTTTGAGGCCCAATGTTTACAGCCTGGGCCTCAAAACTCAATTACTGCGTCGTGTTTCTAAGGCCCCGATGACCTCCGGCCCAAAAGGCTGAAAATCACAGTAATTCCTTTACTGCATTGCCAGTAACTGGTACTTCAGTGGCAGTGGTTTAGTTCCAGAGCCTGCAGGCAGGTCTCTTTGGTATTTTCTCAGAGAGGGGTTGAAGAGCTCTTCAGGTGGTCTGGCAGTGAAAGAACATCAAGGGAGCACATTGTGTCCTGCAGAGAGCAGCTCAGAGGAGCAGGGCCCTGGCACCTTCCCTTCCCTCACTGCAGGAGGCTGCCCACAGCCTCTGGGGATATCTTGAGACAGGTTTCATAGAGAAATCCCTAATTTGAAACAGTTTTAGCAAAAAAATATCTCCCGTTTGCTTCCAAAGTGCAGTTAGTAGGCACTTGTGAAGATTTAATGCTGTCCAGAGGCAAGGCACGACAGATAGCCTTGAGCCAGTAACATCTAAAATGGTCATTTCTGTACTTTTTTAACAACTACCATCAGGCTAAAATGGAGAATACTGATTCAGAAGCCATGACAGGACCCTTGTAAGCCATAAAAAAAAGAAAGAAAAAAAATGAAAGGAAGGTTTTCTACAGGTTTATTTTCTAATAATAAAATGTCTGTATCATTTAAATGTCTTACATGGTTAGAATGTCTTATTGAAGTGGTAATTGCCTCTCCACCATCAGTACTCTATTGCTCAGAGCTACCTTTTAAGCTGTGATTCTGTAATAACATCTAATTAAAGAAAATCTGCTCTTGTGTAGAGTTAATAAAATGTTCTTTTGCAGAACACTGAACAGATTGCAGGGAACAACTGAATAACTATTTGGATGTATCTGAGTTTTCTTTTATTAAAAATGGAGTTGAAAAAAAAATTTTCATAGATTTGCTTTATAGCTCATTGGGCTCAGGTGTGGCTGTGGTATCACAATGAAAAAGACCTTTGGACTGCATGGCTGTTGCTGTGACCTCAGGAGAGGCAAAAATAGATTGACAGTTTTTCAGCTTCTGCAATTAAGGCAGCTCCCAGGAAATACTTGTCAATAATATTTGTCCCTGAACACCTGCAAGCCAGAACAACTAGATAAGGAACAAACAGAATTTTTTTTTCAAATTTTGAGTGAAAAATACATCTCCTACCACATAAGCTGACAGAAAATCACAGCAGATGACACAAATATCAAAATTTCTGTGTTTTTCTAAGTCTTTTTTCTTGGTAGAGAACACATCAAAATCTTCAAACATATGTGTTTACCTCTATTTTAATCCAAGATTTCTTGACACAATCAAGAAGATGTGTCTGTCAGAGGTATGGCTGCATTCTCACTGTTTTTTTGGGGGGAGAAGCTGAATTTTAGATGCTTGAGCTGTTCTCCAGTCAGTTAATGTTTTCCTGTGAGAAAGGATTTTAATTATTTTTAACAAATTCCTCCTTTCCTTGAAGAGCTTTCCTGAAAGAGGCTCCGAGGTACAGGGCAGTGTTCTTTAGAGTGGTTGCAGATTTTAGGACTCTCAACATTTGGCCCTTGGAAAGCAAGCAATAAATCCCTTTCATCTTGAAATAATTTGTCTTCTCAGGCATCAGGAGACATTTTCTCTGCTTGCCTTGCAGGTACATGAATAAAGTCAAGACCAAATAGCAGGATCTGCTCTCTTCTGTGTGAGCCTTTTCCTTGGGAAAGCAGGGAAAGGAGGAGTATGAGAACCCAGAGTAGATGTCAAACCTTGTCCCAAGTCCCACTGAGCTGGGAGCAGCCACTGGAGCTTGTCAATTGTCTGAGACTCAAAGGCTGGCAGGTTCCACGGGGAGCAGGGGCCACAAGCAGCTCTGGAGGGCCCTGGGGGGACGGATGACCCGGCCCTCCCTGGGCTCAGGGTGCCCTGCCAGCTCCTTAATGTGGGAATTCAGGAGCCCAGCACGCCCAGCCACATCCAGGCAGCTCCCCAGGGCACAGCCACAAAAGCAGAGAGATGTACACATGGCTTCCACATGTCTGAGTGGGGAAACTTTGATCCTCAGCTGCCACTCCTTGTGGCTGAGCCGGAGCTCCCGAGGCTCTGCTGGACCCCTGACCTCAGCCCCGCCTGGGGCAGCTCAGGCTGAAGGGTGTGCTCACATCTGGCCCTCAACAAACCTGGCAGTGCTGTTCTCCAGAGCCCCAAAGGCAGAGATCAGTGCCTGCAGGGCATTTTGTGGCAGGATGTACCATGTCTATCACAGTAGAACCGCCATGGCACCAACCTCCAAGCATTGAAATACTTGAACTCCCAAGAGCAGAAATTCTCCTTGTAAATTTGGTCCCTGGCTCTGAAGTAATAAAGATTTTTGGCTTCTGTAGCCGCCCTGTTGGTTGGTCACAAGAGGACACAAGCTCTGTTCTGATCATTGTCAAATGTGTATCTAAATTTTCAAGCTGATTCTTGTCTGCAGGCAGCAGTTCAGCGTGAAGTCAGTGCAAGAGTTAAAAATCAAGCAATATTTTTCAGTGGCTTCAAATTCAATTGAAAAATGTGGCATTTTATTTTCAAATGAACTTCTGCTTTTCAAACCATCATGAGTTTCTTATAGAGAACAAAAGAGTTGAAAAACAATGACATCTATCTGGGCTTAAATTAAATGCAATGGAGACAAATGGGTAATCAGGGCTTTACTCTGGATCATTTACCTATTACCTACCTAAAAAGTTACTGCAGGAGCTCATTAAGTGTGTATCACTGTGGCCAGTGAGGAAACCTTCTATATTGCCCTCTATTTGACATGCAAAAGGAATGAATCACCAAAAGCACTTTAAATTATTCAATGGAAATGTTCTTGAAACAGTTTTGCCAGTAATTCCAATGAGAATAAGTCAAAGCCTGAGCCCACTTATAGTTGCCAGACCCTGGGATGACAAAGGAAATGCCCTGACTCCCTTGTGGGGAGACGCAGTCGCGGTCAGCCCTGTGAACTCGTGTAACTCTCAGGGCAGGAATTAGAGCTCATGCCACACACACAGCCTCACTCAGGGCTTGTGTCAGCCCTGTTCTAGCAGCTGCAGCCACGCTGAGCCATTGTCCCTGGGCTGTTCAGAGCAGAGCAGAGCAGAGTGACACGTTTGGTGTCTGCTCAGTGCCTCTGCAGGGCTCGGTGTGGGTCGCCCAGCTCACTGTGTGCTGTTTTCCCTGGCAGGGGTGACCCGGACAAGTGTGACATCTGGGGGAACACGCCCCTGCACCACGCTGCCTGCAATGGCCACATCCACTGCGTCTCCTTTCTGGTCAGCTTTGGTGCCAACATCTTTGCTCTGGACAACGACCTGCGCACTCCCCTGGAGGCAGCTGCCAGCAGGGACCGCAAGGAGTGTGTCCAGATCCTGGACAAGGCTGCCACCGAGCAGAACCTGCTGAATCCAAAGAAGGTCTCCAAACAAAAGGCACAGGCCCAGAGGAACGTCGAGAGACAAATCAAAGAATGTGAGAAGCGCCAGGAGAAACACCAGCATGAAATGAACCGGAATTATATTAAAGAAAAGGTTGGCACAGTGAATTCTTCCAAAGGAACGCACTCCAGGGTAAAGCTGCCTGGGCTATTTGCTTCAAATACCACAAGTACTTTAACCAAAAACCTGAAAGATACCTTGAAACTCAAGACAAAAAAGACAGCCGACAGCACAAGAAAGCAGGAAACACAAAGAAGTGACCAAGAGGATGATACGGCTAGGAAAAGTGTGATGCATTTGTTTGATGAGAAAGAGGAAGATGAATTACTGAATGACCTTGGAGAGAAAAACCTTGCTGGTAATGACAGTCAGCTCTCCATTTTTCAGCGGCCAGGTCTTGGCAAGATTGTGTTTGGAAGGAATTTGGCTGCAGAGGTAAATCCTGAAACTGTGTCTTCTGAGAAAGAAGGTATAAGAGATACAATAGCCAGTGAGCTCTTTCAGTATGAAAATACTGAGAATGGCAGGGAAGATGATGCTGAAAGCAGTGCTGATGTCCCTTGGAATGAGGAAGAAGTGGTTTGGGATGATGAGGAAACAGAGAATACGCCCCTTGAGGTATTTCTGGCATCACAGATGCTGGATGAGTTTCTTCCAGTCTTCATGAGGGAAAAAATTGACTTAGAAGCCCTGATGCTATGTTCTGATGAAGATCTACAGAGCATTCAGATGGAGCTTGGGCCAAGAAAGAAAGTCCTGAATGCTGTGAATAAAAGAAAACAGGCACTCAAGAATCCTGGAAAAACTGTAGATACTTGCTTATAAATTATCATTCCTATTGTTGTAACCTACACACTGTTTCATTACCTTTCCCTCTTTCCAAAGAGTGTTCAACTCTTTTCAGAAGTATGCTAAAGCAAAAGGCAGAAATGTTACCAATTGCTTCGGAAAATACAGCAGGGATAACAATTTTTCTCTCTGGGTGGGTAGTTGTGGTGAACAGGATATTAAGTAAAGTATATTCTGCCAAAAAACAAGAATGTGAAGATGAAAACCAAAAAGCTTTTTCTCCCAGAACTGTTTATGTGGATTGGATTTCTTTTGGTCCAGATAATTTCAAATATCAGTGAAGGCCAGGCCTGCTGCATTCCTTATTAAAGCCTTCCCTTTCTTCTCCAAACCACAAAGCAAAGAGCATTTTCAGAGCTTGTGAGCTTTGAGTTTTCTCCATTTGCTTCTGTAAGATCAGTAAAACCACTCTTCCTAGTACTGGCGGTATGTTAGGAAAGGAATCTGAATCCTGATTTTAGCTGTGGTTTATTGACTCTAATCACCTCTGAATTAATGTAAATAAGACTAATTTACTGCAAGTTTCATATATTTGTCAGTAAAGTTTTTACTTCTGTATTGACAATAATTTAAAAATACATGAAGTAGCTTCCCAAGAGATGTTCAGTCTGAGTTGTGTATTCCTTTCTTGTCTCATTAGACTGGATCCAATTGCCAGTACCCATCGTGTCCTAAATGTCATCAAGGCTGCAATCCTTTTAACTACAAGAAGCTGAGGTTTAATTTTCAAAATTTTGGATCTATTTTGGTATATGCCCAGCTGGGTTCCTATAGGCTGCATTTTCCCAGAAATGAGGATTCATATCACACACCATTTTCTGTGGGTTGTTGTCAGCCTTAGCCTGAGAACTGTGTATCACACACACAGCTCATGAAAATGAAAAAAGAAAATGAGCTGTGCTGCTGTGGAAGCTCCTGCTCTTCACACTCTGTCTGGAGGCGTTCACAGCAGGGTTCCCCTGTTCCCTTGGGAAGCCAGCACTATCAGATATAAATTAATCACTCCTGTTGAGTTTTGTGAATCTAATAAAGTGCTTTTAGCAGCCATGCTCTGGCTAAGATCACAGATTTTAGATGCACATTCATTAGCAGAACATTTATCTTTAAAGCTCTTTTTATATCTTCCCATTAGCCAGCTATGATTTTTTTCTTAGGGGTATTCTGCATTTCTGGATGTTAATCCTGGTTAATGATCTGGTTTTTCATGTTTCTTCTTTCCATATCATCTTGTGACTGTGATTTGTATAATATAATATCTTTTCTCAGATGGACTTTATACTGCATTCTTCCCTGCTTGGGTTCCTGTACACAGCACGTTGATATGTTCTCATATTAAGCAATCACATCAAAGTCCTGTTCAAAATCACATCAAAGTCTGTTCCATAATTGGTTTTTCTACTCATGTGCTTTGCTGTTTTCATATTTTATCGATCCCTTTGTTACCTTTAGAGTTTGGAAGCACTGGAATCCTAGCTGTGACTCCTGTCAGTTCAGTCCTGCTTGGTTCCTGTACACAGCACGTTATGTTCTCATATTAAGCAATCACATCAAAGTCCTGTTCTGTGCAACCTTCCATAATTGGTTTTTCTACTCATGTGCTTTGAAAATCACATCAAAGTCTGTTCCATAATTGGTTTTTCTACTCATGTGCTTTGCTGTTTTCATATTTTATCGATCCCTTTGTTACCTTTAGAGTTTGGAAGCACTGGAATCCTAGCTGTGACTCCTGTCAGTTCAGTTGGAGAGACTTTATGTATCGCACATGCAGTCCTAGAGCAGAACCCAAACCCAAATCATAAAAACAGGCAAACCCACGTGAGCACAGCCCTGCCAAGTGCAAGGTTCTCCTTCCTTAAGGATTTAATACTCTGCACTGAGCAGACATTAAGAAAATGTACAGCATGGGACAACTGAGAAACTGAGTATCACAGAGGAATGGAGAACTCACTATTTCTTCCATTTTCAGTGATCATATTTACTGAGAGTGCAGTCACTGCAACAACTTGAATACTTTCTTTCTTGTCATCAAATAAATCAACCACAAACCAGAAAAGAAATGGACAACCAAATGAGTGTCAAAGAAAAACAGCAGTATCTATTTAATTTTAATATAAATGCAAGTTACACAATTTCATGATCCATTAGTTTGTAAGAGAAAGAAACATAGAAATTGATGCTATTATTTCCCCTCAGAAAATCTAAAGGTGGCATCCAAGCAATTCCCATTGTAACTGAACTTCATGACATCAGAGGTACAACACTGAAGCCAGGCTCCCAAAATCTCCCACTGCCAATGAAGCTGAGAACAATGTGGGTTTTCAGAACCAGGTCTTTGGACTGGCTCCATTTATTTTTTTAAAGTGCATAGTCTGTAGGGGAGTACATGTGAAAATAAACTGGACTTGTCTTCTTCCCAAACACTACATCTCACTTCAAATTGCAAATCTGGCATACCACTGGCACAGAACTGGGATTATACTGTCATAATTATTAATTGGAAGTTTCCATAGAGTTCTTGAATAATGGAGCATCATTTATTTTCATGTTTACCTCAGGTTAGTGTAGTTCTGCATGAATGAACCAAGAAACTAAGTCAACACAAACTTCTGTACACATCAGAAATGACAGAGAAGAAACAAGACATGTAAAGACAGAAGAGTAATTTTGCTATAATTAAAACACAGAAGCTCACAGAGAATTTTCTGGGGTTTTTTTTGTGGTTGGTTTTTTTTGGGGGGGTTTTTTTTGTTGGTTTTTTTTTTTGATGGGATAAACAGGACAAGTGGAGTTCAGTTTGAATCCACATCAAACATCCTTCAGGCCTATCAGGAGTCTGGTACCTTTCTCTGCTACATCTACCACTTTGTACTTTTTCCAACTAGCTCTTCCAACACCAGGCTTACAACTGGGAGTATTATTTACATCACACCTGCACTGTACTCATTAACCTCTTCTACACCTGCCTATGCACCCTCCAGGGCTGTAATGCCAGCTGCTCCTGACCCTCCTTCCTGTGCTCTTCTATTCTACTGACATGTTATTAAATGCCCTGTCATCCAACTCTTCCACAGCATGAAGAAACACTTAATAGCCTGCATGAAATAATATGCAAATGGAAATAAAATTTCACAAGGCACAACTTGTGAGCCTGGGACAGGAATCTGTTTCCAGGGCAATAGCTGTTTTTCAGCAGATGCTCACTCTTTTGCAAGGCAGTTGCATAACAGCACAAAACTGGAACTTTTCCTTATGTCACTGGGTTCCTCTGCCAGGAAAGGATCATGAAAATTCCTGCCCCAGCTAATATCTGTGATAATAGAACAATTAGCAATTGAAGCATAGTATAGCCAAACTGAAAATTTTTGCCTGTATACTTGAAATCAGTTTGTGCAGCTCCAGCCTTCAAGAAACTTAGAAAAACAACTTAGAGGATTCATAGATTAACGGCAAAATCTCCCTACAGAACTGAGATAAAAGTTAAAGACAAGACACTTAGTCCTCACAGTCTGTGTGACTCCCTGCAATATGAAAATGGCAATATCCCAGTGAGGCATGTTCTAAGGGAAGTACTGAGCAGAAACCCAGCTGCAGGGAGGTATGGTTATTACATAAACCCCCACTGAGAACTGTGCCCTTAGTGAAAAACCACCGAGTCTGAGGGCAAAGGAAGGTGGATTGCCAGGGGTGAAGAAAATGGTGATTTCCAGTGAGCTGGAAAGGAAGATGTGTCCAGGAGTTAGAGGTGGGCTGTGTGCCTAGAAGGCTGAAGACGTCACTGTCACTGGAATACTGAAACCCACAGCTGCATTTAAAGTACCACCACAGGTAAATATGATGCCAGAGTCCATTCTACAAACTGATCTATTTTACACCAGAATTAATTATCCCTCTAAAAACCACAAAATCTACACACAGGCTTCTGCTCCATAAATAATTAGAGAGGAAAGGCATTGATTCCAGAATGATACCAAAATATGGAAAGATACCCTTGTTAGTATCACTGCAAACATCTAATGCTTGCTGTTACAAGAGAGACATTTATTAACAATACTGCAAGTATCTAATACTTGAAATTAGAAGACTTTAGAAATTAGTCTATTGCTGAAATTTTACTTGTCCTTCTTGAATATTCTTAAAATTATTGAAGGATTTAGACAGGATTGGTGCCTTTCTTGTTAACACAGGATTCAAGGAAACTAAGTGCAAACGATTTTCTTGGCCTCATTGGCTTTGTAGACTTCTCTCTTCAGTTACCAGCTGACCATGCATCATAAACAAATTTTGCTGCTACCGTGTCTTCAACTGCCATCCCTGAAAAAAAATTGAAGTTACCTTCAAACAGTTATTCAGCTGTACCAATCATTTTGCTTCAGAAGGGAACAGGAAGATTCAGGAGATTATCTAACTGGACAGGAAGAGGAATTATTTCCCATCCCAAACACCTACAGTGTTACATTCAAAGTCCACAGCCATCATGCAGTGTTGGGTGTGCTGTAAGAAGTTAATGAAACAGTAGGAATCTAATTTTCAGTGTTCATATCACAACTGGGCCCTTTTGGAGATGTCATGTAGCTCAGAGCATGGTAATTCATCCCCAGGGCCACCCTTTCCCAAAGCCCAGCCCCACAGGACACTGTCACATTGTCTCAGGTCAGACAGACCCCACGGGTGGAACAGCGGGGCAGTCGGGCTGCTGCTCTATTAATAAATGCTGCAGTCATGTCTTGAACAACTGTGAAATGGAAAATGGACTTCTATTGTTTGCCTGCTTTCCTATCACTTTTCATTACATCAATCCTGCTAGATAAACAAGAAGGGAAATAAAAAGGGAAAATGCAAATGACAGTCGACTTTCTTGTGGATTGCCACAGCGGTTCTGAAGATGATCAGCAGCTTTCCCACGCATGGGGGACCTAACAAAGAACAAGGCATTGTTTTCTGTCAGACTTGGACACAGGAGGGGCTGTTCTTACCCAGTGATTTAAACACTGTTGTTTTCTCAGGCAGGGCTGGTTTTGTACCCTTCAATACCTCCCCCAGCTCAGCAAAAATCTCTGCCTGTGGAAAAGAAACATATTTATACAAAAACATAATATCCATACATACATTAAGAGGGAAAAAAAAAAACCTTTTATTCTGAGTGACTTCAAAAGAAAGAACTCCTCCAGTGCTGCATCCCAAAACTGATTACTTTCCATGGTGAAGCAGATCAACATTCAGACAAATTATATAGAAACTGGACAGAAATCAGAGGAGCAGAATGGTTTTCAAAGAAAAACAGCTGGCAGACTTTCCTCAGCCAGTAAGTTTTTTTACAGAGGGTAGCTTGTTACTTGTCCAACAAAACACATGGGATTCCACACACATTACCATATCTGGAGCTCTTATGTTAAACCTCAAAAGTGTAAATCATATTTATTCTGCAGACACATTAGAAGAGAAAAAGAAAACTCCATTGAACCTCAAAGAATCCCTGCTGGCAAATCTGTGCAGATCATTGTCTGCTTGGCTTGTGTGGTCCATTCTTTGGGCTGGTCCATTCAGTGTCAATCACACTGAAGTCTCAGGGGAAGAAAGTTACAGGTTTTAATAAATAGAATTGAAGAATATTTACAATAACCAAACACTGCAGGAAATGTAGGTCTTTCAACAGCAATACATTGTTATCATCAAAAGCCAATGCTGAAAACATGCTACTGTAATATGGTGTCATATAATGGTAGATACAGAGGTTGCATGGCTTGGTCACAGACAGAGCAGTTTGAAATCAGTTTATCCTTCAACCCCTGCCTGGAAAGTGTCAACAATTACATTTGATACCCTAAAGGTTTCAGTGCAGGTCATCATCAATACCAACTCATTTCAAATGCAACCCAATTGCCACAAAAATAAAGCTCATCATTTCAGAAAGCCTTACCCCTGACAAAATGACATCTCCTGATTCTGTAAGAGCAGCATCTCTGGAATCCACAAACAGAACAGAATTCTTCATCAGCTCATCATCCAGCTCTCTCCAGTCTGGTCTGCTTGCTCCAACAGCTAAAGCAACAAAACTTATGAACTTGGGAGCAATGTTTAGAACAAATTCCAACCACATTTTTTTCAAAAGACATATGTGAAGTAACAATCAACACTATTATGGAAATGTAATGTACAAAAAAAAATCCAGTGTTACCTTGGAGAAATACTGATTGATAGGACAACAGAAAAACATTCAAGATTTGATAGTCAGTAAAATATCCTTGTCGGAAGAGTCCGAGTAGCTGAGGCAAAAGAAAATCCTCTCCCTTTGTCTGTTATCTCTTATACCATTGCTTTCATCAGATCATTACCAAATTAATTTTACACACCTTTATTAGATTATCACTTATCCAAAGAAACTGAAAACAAATTATGGAGCTTAATTTTTTTATACACAGTACCAAGATCATTATCAACTTGTTATGGGCTTAAAAAAGCAAGCAAACAAGAAACCCAACAAAAACTAAAAGGACTATCCAGTTATATTGTATTCAGATATTTTTTACATGTCCAGCTGTTAAGGAACAATAAATCTGCATTTGCCACATTTGCATTTGTTGCTTAAATGTCTCTTAAAACAGTACAAATGCCTCAATGAAGGTAAAAAAAAGCAAGGAAAGGAGAGAGGTCTTTGTGTCCGTGTTGCCTCAGTGACTGTGGACCTTAATTGATTTTGTTGTATTTCTGACTTCTGTGCCATGACACAACATAGACAACAACTTTCAATGACAAAGGACTAAATCGAGTTTGAAGAATTGGTAGCATGCTGCTGGAATGTGGGACCTTTCTTTAAATTGCTCCCTTTGAGAACTGGCTTTTGTCTTACTTCCATGCTATCTGGAAAGTGCACAAGGTCATCTGAACAAGGCCCACAGTTAATAAAAATAACCAAATAGAGGTACATCCAGAGATTCCAAACAATAGTGTGGCAACATCATTATCAGGAAGGCAACAGAAAAGGACCCCTCCAAACCTCACTATAATTTGAGGTTAAATTATGATGTTCTTAACTCAGTTATTGCATCTTCATAACTCAAGTAAAAAAGCAAACTGGTGTGATCAGCCCCAAAAGAAACAAACAGAAGAGATTACAAAATTGGTGGAAGAAAATATGACACCACTAGGGAAATGTAACAATGAGCAGTAACTCCTTAGAAATAAGAACATTTGTATGGGTTATTTAAATGGAGAGCAAAGTGAAAATAATGACAACATGAGGGCAAAGATGATGCACCACTAAGAGAAAAGAGCATATGAGAAAAGAGCAAATCCCATGCTCAAGCAAAAATCCCCTGCTGGATTATGCAGACATCTGACTCCAGGACAGGGCTGGGAAAAGGGGTCCTCACTACAGAGGAAAAGTAAAAATCTAAAGACCATTCATTCCATGAAGCACAGAGAACTGCTTCTCAACAGATGGTGATGCTAAACAAAGTGCTAATAAACACCTGCTGTACACAAGGGGAACAGAACCTACCATTGATGTGGGCACCTGGCTTCACCCAGTCTCCGAAGAGGATGGGAGCTGTTGCCATGGTGACTGTGACAATCACATCAGCCCCTGTCACCGCCTCCTGGGCGGAGGAGCAGACCCGCACGGGGCCGCTGACGGAGCTGGCAAACTTCACTGCCTTCTCCTTGGTGCGGTTCCATACCCTCACCTCAGGGAGAGAAACAAAACAAAACAAAGGCAGATCAACTTGGAGAATGTCTCCTTGCTGAAACAGAACACTTAATTTAAGTTTTCAGAAGACAGTTAAATGTTTCCTAAAGGTTGGGGGTTTTTTCCCCTTTAATGTTCTTATCATACAAGTGAGTGAATTTCATGAGTGTTCAGCTACATTTGAATGCCTGTTTTGTGATGCCAGAATAACATCTCCTTGTAGAGGAGATTATTCTTATAAAATTCAAATAATTCTGAAAATTACATTTAAGGAAAAGTCACAAAAAACTTATCCAAGTATGGCATATACAGTAGGATCTTCTCAGACAAAAAGCTATCTGAAACAACTTTGATTCCAACCTTTTTTCATTTTAAATATCAACATTTGAGCAAGAAATTCTTGCTGCTCTGATTATTCTTGGGTTCTGTAGAAACAGAACAAAAAATATGATTAATCTTAACTTTTATGGTGGATTGACCATGGCTGGATATCAGGTGCCCACAAAACTGTTCCATCACTCCCCTCCCCAGCAGCACAGGGAGAGGAAGAGAAAATAAGATGGAAATATTAGAGGGTCAAGATAAAGGCAGTTTAATAGAACAGAAACAAACGTTGGAGAGACAGCCTTGATAATGAGTGAGCACTGCTCAGAAGCAGCCAAAACACTGGGGTGTTATCAGACCCCTGGAGCTGCCAGTGCACAGCACTGTGGGGGCTGCTCCATCCCAGCCTGACCTGATACAACTTCACTGCTGTACTTTTTTCACAATGAATCCTGCAACGTGCTAGAGAAAAATAAATGTATCTTCTTTAAGATGTGTCTGTTACCTCTTTAAATGTGAACAGTTCTGTGAAGATATCATAATGGCTGTATGCTTGAACACCAGCTCCCAAAATGCACAGCACTTCTGCAAAAGGTGGCATTAACAACTGAACAGCATCAGAAAGAAAAAATCAAAAGAGAATATGTAAGGAGAATATATTAACAGGCATTACAAATATATATCAAAGTACTATAAAAGAAGGCAGTATTATTAGTCCTTTTAAACAACAAAAAAGTATAAAAACAAGTATTCGACAATCACTATATATATATTGGGCTTTTTTTTTAATGTAAAAGCAAGCATCAGTAGCACCAAAGCACATCTTGGCTTAATTCCAGTGTTGAATTGTCTGACTTGAAATTCAGATTTAAGATACAACAGCATGAACAGCAAGTTCTGGGACCTCGGTACACTCCAATATTAACACACCCATGTGGCTGATTAAGTGTAAAACCACAATGCTGATGATCTGCACTGGCTGAAAGCAGGGCTCAGAATCCCAAAAACCATCAGTACTGAGAGTGGCAGCTGCACAGGTAAACTGGCCCTGGCAGCCCCACATTAATCCACCTCTTTGAATTCACTGAAGCCATAAATCACACCACAAGCATGTCCTGGCAATGCAAGAGCCAGAATACACAGACATTGGAAAAGTAGGGATGGTTCTGAAGAACAAATAATAAAATTCAGTTCTAGAGTTGCCTTTGGCTTTCTGGTTTAGTTCTTGTCTGTGATTCACCAGTACTTGGCAAAGGGGAAGACAGAGCTGCTGGAGTCCAGCCCTAACTATCCCCTTGTGTCTTGTTCATGCATTTCTTGTGGCCACTCACTCCTGCCTAAAAAGCTTTAGAATTGTCCAGGCTCTCAAGGCTTATTCTGCTGCTAACAAATGGAGAAAAATCTCATTGATCCCATTTTTCAGTAGTAAGAATTTGTTTTAATGTGCCTTTTAAAGAGTGTGAAGCACTGATTTCAAAGGTCCTTTGCATAAGAGCATGGGTCTTTGAAAAGCAAATGCAGTAAAGAAGGCAAGATGACAAATATGAGCTAAACTCAAACACTCCTGCAAATTTCCAAAAGAACAGATGACAATGAAGGATCTGATCCTGAAGTACCTTCAGCAGCCAAGCTCCTTTGAAGCCAGCATGGACTGCATAAAAACCATGACCAAATACAGAATGGCCAAAATGAATGAGGTCCTCTAACCTCCTGTCCAAGGAGCTCCTTGTAAATCATTCTGTCCTTTGGTTCAGGAGAAGGTCCTGGGGACAGGTCCTTCACTCAGTTCCATGCCAGTGTAGCCCCACTGCCATGGATAGAGTCACCCTGGCAGGAAGATTGCCCCTCACAAAACGGTGAGATCAGCCTTCATTCTGATGCAAAGCTGAGGAGTGACAAACAGTATTTTTCAGATCTGGCCCTCTTCTTATTGCCTCAGCCTTTGAGGAGCAGGCTAAAATCCTGCTGTGGTCACTTGCTCTCTTCCTGATGTTAGCAGCCCAACCAAAAACAGCTTTTAAAAAAGAAACCCAACACAAAAATTTCCAACTGAAATTGCACAGCCAGATACACCTCACCTGTCTTTAGACACTGAAGCTTATGTCCATGGTCAGGGACAGTCATCTGGACACCTTCCAGTGACAACAGAGACACTGACAGACAGACAGACACCTCTGGACAACTCATCCATCTATACTGGGCATCATTTATCTTAAAAGAAATGGAAATGTGCTTTCCCCTCTCTTTACGAGCCCAGTGCCACCCACCTGTCCTGTCCCAGCAGCAGAAGGCATCTATCTAACTAAAATTCAATATATCACCACAGCTTCATCACCCAAAGCCATAAAGGGGCATGTTAACACAAACACAAAAGAAAGAAAATCCAGTGAAAGACAGCTCAGTAAATTCCTAGAGGAGGGCACAATAGAAGCTACAAAAATATAGCTCAGGTTCCTTCTCCAATCACACACAAAGTGTAAAAGCCAGATATGACTGACTCAAAGCAGTGAGTTTAAGTTTTCCCTGAAAGTGCCTATGTTATGATAAATGCAATTTAAAGCTGTATTGGATGAAAATCCATTTACATAATTTGTTGTAGTTATTTTATAACTCTAAGCCCCACTTAGAGAACAGACCACACACCTTGGTAGCGATGGCAGAAACTGCAGCTGTTCGTTTTGCTGTAATGACACTGCCATCCAGGACCTTTAAAAAATTCAAACAGACTGAAGTGAACACTGAAAAACAAATAAATACCAAACATTTTCATCCAATTTATATCTGATATTACAGATATAAAAGATGTAGAAGTTGGCAACTATTATCACAGCAACCACAAACCAAAGTCATGTTTCAACTGGGCAGATCCTCTGTTTATTCTAGTTCTTCCATATCATTCCATCTAGCACAAAAGGAGTGAAAATGATCAGAGAAGAGCCACCTCTAACTCAGCCAGCTCCTGAGGCACTGCACTTCCCTGGCTCTCCAGCACAGGAATACATGGATATGACTCCAATACTCTGTGCTCCAGGAGGAGCAGGGAGCAGGGCAGGCTGGCAGTGGCTCCCCAGTCTGCACTGTCCTGGTCTGCACAGAAGGCTGACAGGCAACCATGGAATTCCTCAAGTGTGTGTCACTCCTGCCTCAATGTACATTAGCTACTGCATGCATATTAATTATGGGCCCAAAAGCTCAAGGGGTTTGGTAGAAGAACCCAAGACAGTTTTCAGGACCAGTTTTGTCCCTTTAATAAATCATTATTACTAAATTGCAATGCAAATCATCACTATTTTTAAAAAATCTTAAATTCTTTAAATTATGAAAAAGTAATCACACTCTGAATACTTGTCCCTGCAATGCAAATTGTAAATCTCTCTCAACTTGATACTTAAGATGGTTCAAGATCCATTCTTTACCCACTGAGGTGGGGGGTATTTTTGCTTTCAAATATAAGACAAACTTCTAATCATTCTTCTCTTCCAGTTACATTCTGAGCTATCACAAGCAGCAGTAAATAGCACGGTGAGTACAGTTTAACAGAAACAAAAGATAGACAGCTTTAGGCTAAATCCTGTTGGTAAACTCAGGATTTTTACAATTTACACCAGCTCCAGCTTCCAAGAAGCAGAAGTGAGAACTGACAGCTTGAGCAGAGAAGAATGCAGGACACACGAGACTTACAGCTTTCAGAGTGCCATTGCTGGGGTCAAACAGGAGGACAGTGGCCTGGTGGGAAGGCACAGAGGAGTCCTTCAGGTGCTCGTAGAAAGTCACCAGCTTGGTTGTCAGCGCATCGTCGGCAGCGCTGTACGCGGGCATGACTCCGAGGTACCTCGGGGGAGAATTTCCTGCGTTACTCACGCACCGTTATCACGGGAGCTCGGCCAGCGGGCTGCGACCGTCACGCCACTACCGACCACTTAATCAGTACCTCGGTACCCAGGGCATCTCCTGATGCTCCAAACCCCCCACCCGGAGCCCGTCCCGCCGCCAGCCCGCCCCCGTTGCCGCTGTGCCCCGGCGCCGTGCGGGCAGCCCCGCCGTGCCCTCACCCGCCGTGCCGGGGCACGGGCAGCACGGTGCGCACCGGCTGCACCACCCCGCCCGCCGCGCCCGCAGAGAAGTTGGCCAGGGCGGCCTCCAGCGCCGGCAGCAGGAGGCTGGCGCGGTGCAGGTGCTTCTCCACCTCCTCGGCGCCGATGAACACGGGAGCAGTCGAGCCCATGGCGAGGAACGGAACGGGACAGGATAGGATAGAATAGAATAGGGTAGGACAGGACGGGACGGGCTGACGGGACTCCGAGAGTGCGGCGCAGCGCACCGCCCTGTCCGCGCTGAGGCCGGCTCGAGGGCGGCTCCGGCGGCCCGGGCATTGCTGTGCCCGCAGGGACCGCCGCTGTCCCGCCTCACCCGGGCAGCGCTCGGCGGGAAGGCGGCTGCGAACTCCACGGGATGGCGCTGACATAGACTGGGCACAGCCACCCTGGGATCCCGCGTCCTGAGGGACGGCCCGAAAGACAGCCGCCAGCGGTACCCGCGCCCCGAGGGCCGTTCCGGAGGGACATTCCGGGGCACATTCCCGGGGCACATTCCCTGGGCACATTCCCGGGGCACATTCCCGGGGCACCGTCGGCACCGGGACCCCGCGCGCCGCAGGGTGTCACGGCCCGCGGTGCCCGGCAGGGGGCGACACCCCGCGCGGGGGCGCTGTCGCCGCCCGGCGCGCCGCCCGCCGGAGCAGTCGAGTTCGGGATGCGCTCGCTGGAAGGTCAGCGCGGCGCGGGGCGTGCCGGGAAGGCGGGGTCTTCCTCCGGGACAGCCATCTTGTCCTGGCCGGGGCCGAGCCGAGGGACGCGGGACGATGAAGGGCTTCCCGGTGGCCGCGCGTTCCCTCTCGGTGAGCGGGATCCGGGCGCGTCGTGCGCCGTGCGGGAGAGGCGCAGCTGGCGGTGACAGCCGCTGTCTGGGCCCGGGGGCTGCGGGCGAGCCTGACTCCGGTCAGCCGGGGGCGGTGAGCCGGGCGGGGGGCGGCGGGCGGCGGCCGTGGCAGCGGGGCTGCCGAGCTGCCCGCGGGGTCGGCGTGGGCTCCAGAACCCGGGCCGGGCCGGGCCAGCGGGCAGCGCGGCGGGACGGCGGCTGAAGGTCAGACAGGCCGCGGGCCGGAGCGGTGCGCGGTGCCCCGGGCTCTGCCAGAGCCGCCCCACGGGGCACGGAGAGGACGGGGGTGAGCGGATCCCGCCGCGCTGAGAAGCGTCAGCTGCCTGAGACACGGCGGTGCCCTTGGCGATAGCGCGGCCTGGAGCCGGGCAGGGGCAGGGGGCTCGTCCTGCCCGAAGGCTCTGGCGGAGCTGGCGGGCAGCTGGGGGGAACCGGGGCTGGATGGCCGCTGGAAACGCGCCCCAGTGGCATGCAGAATGACCTCTGAGAGACAGCGTGTGAGTCAGTCTCAGATATGCAGTAGTGTTAATAAATAAGTAGACTTTAGAGTTTAAAACTAGGTGTCTTACCATGCCCGTGGTGCAGGAGGAAAGGAGTTTTTCCTAGATTCATACAATGAACAGTCCCTGGTAAAGCAGTGGGGATTACATCACTGGCATCCAGGCAGTGGTGTTTCTGTCACTCGGTTTTCACCTTGGATGCATGGGAATTAAGTCATCTTCTGATGTGAAAACAAGAGTAGCTAGTACAAGCAACTTCTAAAGTGGGTGGAAAGTAACAGCATTTCAGATTTGAAATCAGTCTTATCATTTCTGTTGCCAGCTGCTGAATGCAGGGCTCTTGTGGTATCCTTTCATGTGAAAGGACTGCTGGTTATTAAAATCCTAGAATCATGGAATGGTTTGAGTTGGAAGGGACATTAGAGATCATGTCATTCCACCCCCTGCCATAGGCAGGGACATCTTACACTAGACCAGGTTGTTCCAGGCCCTATCCAACCTGGCCTTGATGACTTCAAGCGATGAGGCATCCAGAAATTCTCTGGACAACATGTTCCAGTGCCTCACCACCTCACATGGAAGGATTTCTTCCTAAAATCTAATGTAACTCACTGACAGTTTGAAATCATTTCCCCTTGTCCTGTCATTATCTGCCAGTGTAAACAGTCCCTCTCTGTCTCTCTTAAGAGCCCTTTAAGGTACAGTGCTCAAGGCTGGAGTGAGGTCTCCCTGGAGCCTTCTCTGCTCCAGGCTGGACTCCCCCTGCTCTCTCAGCCTGTCTGTGTAGCAGGTGCTCCTTTGATCATCTTCATGGCCTCCTCTGGACCTATTTTAAAGGTTCAAACTGCAGTCTGGGGCCTTGCCTGCATGTCCAGTGCAGACAGGTTGGAACTCTGAGGTGACTCTGCAGGAGCTGAACTGCCTACACCTCAGGAGTTCAAAGTTACCTCCAAGGTGTTGTGCTGCATGTGTGGATTGGTGTGGCTCTCTCTGCAGGTGTGTTACAGACTGTGTGGGATGGAGAGGGATACCCACTGCACAGCTGCAAAAAATAATATAAAAAAATATATAAATATATAAAAAATAATCAGAGGAATTACAAGGCAATCACTGTTTTTACTCCAGTGTTTGAAGTCCTTCATTGTATTTCTATTTTAAAGTCAGATTCTTTTTCAGTCTGTAAGGAAACGTGATGAACTAATTGAGGAAATCCATTCTGTTATGCTTTCTCCTCCAGAAGAGATTCTACTCACTTAAAGTAGCTCCTAAAGTGTCATCCTCAGCAACTGCAGCAAAAGTGAAATTATCTCCAGAGTCTCGGGATCTTGAGGTCAGTATAAAAATACAGGTTGGTTTTTCCCCCTTCTCTTTTAAATTTATTTTTTAAAACTCGGTCAGTGCAGAGCTGTGATAGTACTTCCACTGAATGAAAACAAAGGTTTTTTCCTTTTTAATACAGATCACAAAATTACCAAATGGCTTAGTTATTGCATCTCTGGAAAACTTTTCTCCAGCTTCAAGAATTGGTGTGTTTATTAAAGCAGGCAGCAGATATGAAACCACCAGTAACCTGGGAACTACTCACCTGCTTCGTCTTGCATCTAATTTGGTAGGTATTTATTGCTTTGTTGTTATGTTGACAGTAGGTGAAATGGTCAAAGGTTTATTATTGCAAAAATCAATAGTATGGCAAAATTTAATGTAAGAGATCTTATGAAGTGGAGAACAATGTACAGTGGTACTTGGTTATGTGGTTCAGTGCAGGAGAAATGATACTGCACCCTGGAAGATGGGAAGTAATACTCATTTATAATTGTGCTTTCCTCTGGGGTCTTGGACTAGATATACGTAGTATGTCTGTATTCAAATAGACACATAATTAATTCTACTTAAGCTGCAGTAATAATTAGTTCAGGTGGTTGATCCAAACTCAGTTTTGTGCATGTGTGGAATATTTCTGAGTAATTTCTCTTACTGCTGCCATCAACTCAGCATCTGTGTTTTAAATAGCTAGAATTGTAAGTTGCCCTTTTTTTGTTTGTTTAATAGACTACTAAAGGAGCCTCCTCCTTCCGGATCACTCGTGGCATTGAAGCTGTTGGGGGCAGCCTGAGGTTTGTACCCACATAGAAGGATAATCTGTGTTGCTGAGATGCAAAGGAGCTCTAGGACTGAAGGAAACATAAGACAATAAGCACATATGTGTAGGTGGATAAGCTCAGCATGGTACTTGAACAGTGAATGTTGTCAAGGAAGATCTTGTACTTTTTGTTCTGTTAAGCTTCAAGGATGAGATCATGATTTGTATCCTAGAAACACCTTTCAGTAAACAGAATATAAATATTGTGCACATGGAAGAAATATAATTTGTCTAGGAGCCTAATTTTCTTTCTGCCTTTGCAGACTTTGAGAATAACTTGCCTAAAGTCAGTAGATTGCTTTCTCTTCCTCCATCTTTTGTGAATAGATTGCAACCTTGTAAGCAGTACAGACAGTAGTTAGCTTTAGTGACTTGAGGGTTTTAAGCCTGGAAAACAAGACAAGAGGAATAAAAGAGGTCTCACTGTACCTGCTTGCTTTCAGTGTATCTTGAAATCATCCAGAAAGGTGTTTTTATCTATTTGGTTAAAAATAGTGTTTTATGATTCTACCCTTTTTCTGGTCCTGTCAGTAACAAATACATTGAAGGAGAAGGACAGGATCACTGTTTTCTGCCCAAAGAGAGTAATTTCTAAATTGTTTTTTTTAAATACATATGCACTTTTTTTTTCATGTTTTGCTATTCAACCTTATTTGCTCTTTTACCTTGAATTATTGTGGCATCTTAAATTCTGATGGTCACAAGACACTTGTTATTACTTAAATACTGAAGAAGTAAGTTTTAATTAAATCTGTTTCTGCTCTGTATGTGTTTAAACAGTCACCCCAGACAGATTTAAGGTTAAGTAGTTAGTCTGTATCTTGATTAATTTGATCAACAGGGAGTATGTGTGAAAATTCACTTCTGTGTTCTTTGCTGAAATGGATTTTGGTTTTTTCTCTTGCAGTGTGCATGCCACAAGAGAGCAAATGGCTTACTCTGTTGAGTGTCTGCGAGACTATGTGTAGGTATCTGGATGGGCTATAAAGGGAATTACTGCTGCCTTTAACACTGTTTGGTAGTGAACACCTGTCATTTTACAGGGTGGGAGGAATGTCTGTTCTCATGCTTTTATAACAAATCAGTAAATTACTATATTAATATTCAACTTCTGTGTCATGTTACTGAGCATACAAATGCTACAGAATTGAATTATCCTACTTTGTACAGCAGTGCTGATAATTGCTCTGCCTTGAGTGATGTGTTTTGTTGCTTACAGATTAATTTGAATTGCTTTCAACTGCAGAAGAAGCATGTGTTACTTGTGTTTAATGCCTTTGTAACTCTCTTTATTTAGTGACACGGTAATGGAATATCTCCTGAATGTTACCACAGCACCAGAGTTCAGACCATGGGAAGTGGCTGATCTTCAGCCTCAATTAAAAGTTGATAAAGTAATTGCACGTCAGAATCCTCAAGTTGGTAAGTGTATTTTTTCCTCCACTGTATTCACTCTGCAAGAGTTCCTTCAAAATTAAAAAAAAAAAGTGGAAAAGAAATGCTCTGTGACATTAACATTGAATTTTTCAGCTTATTGATAGGTATGGTCTTTCTGGTGTTATGGAACTTTTCTTAATGCACAGGTTTTTCCAGCCTGTGGTAACAAGTAGCAGGTAACATGCTGAAGACATCTTACACCATTCTCCTTGACAGCTTCCATTTTACATTTTTAATTCTTTTCGAGTACAACCAAAGAATGTGCAAGTCATAAGTGTTGTTGACATGGTATTTGCAGAAGCTTGTGTTCTGAAAACCATATTTAGGTATTACTCATTGGTGTGAAAATGGTATCCTGCAAAAGACTTCGTGAATTTATATGGTTATTTTGGTATAAAAACAATATGTATTTTCATCACACTGAAAATGGGTTCCAGCTTTTAGGATTGTAAATTTAGATTTCTGCGTTTAAGGGAAAAGAAAGAGGAAACACAACACAAAGTCTCATTCAGATCAAGCCTATTCCAGTATATCTTGTGTTATTAATTCATCATCCAAGATCGTGCAGGTAGTTCTACTCAATAAACAATAATTTGTACCACTCTGAAGCATGTTTACCTTTGTAACCCATTGAAGGTGAAAGTGTAATGTTGGAAAAATCTCTGGCTCATACTGAAGTGCTACTAA